CCATCTGTGGTGGTCTGATGGCTCTTTGAGGCGCGCGCGGAACGCGACGCGCCGTACGCTCGGGTCTGTTTCTGGTCAGACGGGGAGCCACCCATGCTCGCCGTCCGCTGACCCGCGCTTACGGTGGCCGGAGATCGTCCCGCGAAACACAGTTAGTTTAAGATAAGTTAAAATACATGTCGTAAGCAGTAATTAATTCGACTTATACCATGTTCTTATTATGATTCACTTTTATCAAAAGTACTTCTAAAACAAATTATGCCACTGCCATTGACACATAAATAAAAAACAAAAACAAAATGTTGCCGAGCGCCAACCCTGTTGCAGCTCATGGTCTGATTGCGAAAGTTCAGGGAAAAAATATCGAAAGCCTTTTAGCACAGTTTTATTTGAATGTTATTTTACCAGAAAATCTATAAACAGTTGTTAGTGACATTGTGGCATACTTACTATTGTTAAACTATTGGCAGTAATGTGTTGCGTTGTAAGTACTTACCTAGATTTGACTGCTTCATCGGTCGAATGACTTCAAGCGTGACTGTCGAGCACAGGTAGTTCTAGTGCTCGGGCCACACTAACGTCAACGTCAATGCCAATTATCGCGATGTTTACTACGATAATTATTGCGATAATTATAACGCGATAAAGTGGGTGGCTACACTTGAAATTTCAACGTGAATGCCCATCATGCCAAACGGCAATGTGAATGCCGTTGTCAAATTATCGCGCTGACTCGTGGCTACACCTACGGTGAACGTGCATTATCGCGATAAGCAATGGCATTTCTCGTTGGTGTGGCCCGGGCATAATGCTGGATTGTCTTTAGTATTTTCGAAAATTCTTAGTAATATGGTACAAAGTCTGACATTGTGTTAAGTTATTCTTTTTCTTTTTAATTTTGCCCCACACTATGATTTTCTTCTGTGTCGTGGGTGCGTTCACATAGAATTGCTCCATGCGGGAATCGAACCCACTGCACGTTGTGCGGCAGCCGGTCGCTCAACCACCGCGCCAACTGTGCAGTCAAAATGTCGATTATTTTATCAGTACCTATTGCATTTAACCACAATAAGTGAATTGTTATTGTTATCATTGTAATAATTATTGTACATTTTTGCTTACTGCTTTGAGAAATTGAAGGCGTGATAATACTTAGTTACCAATTAACATTTAGTGACATACATACCCCACTTTAGTTGAGCTGTAGACAGTATTAGATAGTGTTGAAACTACATTGTATTGTGTCTATACAGTGCAGGGAAATCTGATACAATTGTGTATGTATAATACTTACTTATGTTGATATGATATCGGACAGCCTGTTAAGTTTGTATATACCTAAGTATCACATCTAAGAGGTATAGGCACAACATAGAACTAAATAATTGTGCATATAGATAAAGTTACAATAGATAATTTAATAATTAAATTATTATCATTAAGTGTTACAGAATATTAATTGGTATACGTTACTTAGCTAATCAAGCAACATTGGCCGAGTAGTCGCAAGTGCGACTGCTAATAAAGGGGTCTCGGGTTCCATTCCCGGAGCGGGCAAAGTATTACTGGGTTGTTTATAAACTTCTCAGTAGATTCTTATTACAAAAATTAATAGTGAAAAGTGAGTGTTACATTGTACAGTGGTTTTCAGTACCGTATATGTGCGTACCCCTTTAAACTGTCAAACACCAAGCGGTCACCGGTGACCGCAACTTATTGTTCTATAATTGTGTCTATAATGACGGTACTCGACGAGTTAAGGATAAACGACAACAGACGTTTATGTAGGTAGGTAAAGTTATTTTTAAATCATTTCATACCTAACAAGTTTCATCGTACAAACTGTTAAAAATATGAACTACATGTACTAACATCCGCGAATTAATTAACAAACAATAACAATGTCAAACATGGTCGTGGAACGTACCCGACCGGTTGCGACGTTGCCAGATTGCACTTTCGACCATGACGACACACAAACTCAACGCGTACGACGTTCACCACACATACAAAGAATGACCGACAAATCTTATCGTTCGTATTCACTCACACAAACGCAATTACTTGTGGTATCGCGCGGTTGACGTCGTCGTGCGAGCCGGCGCGATCGCGTCGCTCGTATTGGCCGGCGCGGCAGCAAGCTGGCAACAACACGCATTTATTTTTAGTTCAACGTTTGTCGTGTCGTTCGCATCACGTATAACCCTTGCAGATAAAAGTTTTAAGTCAATAAGAACACTATTTTCAATATAACAAAGTGCATATTCATTATTTACATAAGCAAAGTTGATTTCGAGTCTTTGGAATGTGTTTACAAACAAACTAACCGGCAAACTTTTAAAACAACATTCAAATATAAGTTTTATTCACTGTGTTCATAGAGACTAAAATCGAGTGCGTGTCTGTCACGATGGCCAATACCTCTGTGGAAGAATATTACTACGTGGACGGAAGGAAAATGAACCTTATGGAAACTTTGATAAGGGAGGTGGCTGCTACGCCTGCGCTGTGGAATAGATATGACAATAATTATAATAGAACCTCTATGGATGCTGAATGGGGAAGGATTGCAGCATTGTTGGGCAAAGAAAGTAAGTAAAACCTAATATTTCTTTATAATGTGACGTTTAAAAGTTAAAAGTTGATTGATTGTTTACAACTGCAATCCAACGTGTTAACCCATTGAAAATTGTTGAAAAGCATCCTCTAAATTTGTTCATACAAAAGTAGTCTCTAAACATTGGAAATAAGGTCTATAATGTAGTTAGTGGAGAGCGGTCACCGGTGACCGCTTGGGGATATAAAACGTTTCTCCATTATGTCCTTCGGCTATCGATAGTGATAAAAATAATTTAATACTTTTTCTAGGTACATTGTGTTTACGTTTATCAGTGTACTTGATGCGTGAATCGCTCGCGCCATGTAGGTCACCCGAGTCGCGCGCGCATCATGTATGACGTAAGCCAATGGCTTAGGTATTATTAATTCACTGATGTTTATGTACCTTTACAAAATAGTGGTTTAAAATAGAATGAAGAACGAACTAAGTTTATTTGCCTTTTATAAAACTTTTCATTTTAATCACATCAATTAATGAATTTAATTAATAACATAACATCATGCCTTTTATCCCCGAAGAGGTAGGCAGAGGCGCACATTATGGCACTGTAATGCCACTGTACAATGTAACACCCACTATTCGCTATTTATGTTATGAGTCCCATGTAATATTGGGTGAAGCTATTGCCATTATATACCGGGCACAATTACAAACTCCATAGACCCAGTAATATACTTTGCCCCAACCGGGCGGGAATCAAACCCGAGACCCCTTGCCTTACTCGCACTTGCAACCACTCGAGCAACTAGGTAAACAGTCATTCATTTAATATTATTGTAATATATAATTCTAATGAATTAATTTCATTTGTTTATAAAGATTTTAAAATATGGCGATATTACACGGAATTGTGTATTATTTCTGTTGCTATCATAGTATTGTCGACTTGCATTTTTGTATTCCAACAAGTGTGAGTGAACTCTGATAAATCTTATACGACTGACGACTCCTGCGCAAACTTGATCTTATCATTCTTATCATTTGTGCGATTTGTATGAAAATATAATCAAAATGTGTGGCAGGAAATGATTATGATGATAGTGATTTACATAATTTGATAATATTGCCGTTGATGTGAATCCTTAATATTTACTTATCAATCAATCAATACATAGTATAAAACAAAGTCGCTTTCGCTGTATGTCCGTATGTATGCTTAGATCTTTAAAACTACGCAACGGATTTTGATGCGGTTTTTTTTAATAGATAGAGTGATTCTTAAGGAAGATTTGTATGTATAATACATGCATATTGCACCCGTGCGAAGCCGGGGCGGGTCGCTAGTAATATTATAAATGGGAATGGTTGTGAGGATGTATATGTGTGAGTATGTATGTGTGTGTTACTCTTTTACGTATAACTACTGAAGAGATTGAGTTGAAATTTGGAACAGGTTTAAATGATGGTCTGGTATAACACATTTATTTATCCTATCCACTTCAAGCTAGTATACCTAAAACAACTAAGATAGTTTTTGTAATGATAACCTTGTTTCCCAAATAGTATTTTATCGAATTAATTACTGTTAAACATGTTTTATGTTGACATTTTCTCTTTAAGTTTAAGTATGACTGATTTTAATGTAATTATCATATTTGACTAAATTTTGTATGACTGCGATGGTATGGTATTAATGATGTATAGTATAGATATTAATTAATTGTATGGATCTTTTAGATGTCCGAAATAAATGATTTTTATTTAATTATTTATTATTTTATCACAAAGACTAATTTATGACTTGTATTCCTTGTTACAGAGAACTTCATTAAACACAAATGGCGTAACTTACGAGACCAATTCCTGAGAGAAAGCAAGAAAGTTAAAGTTCCCTATGACAACCCTACGAAGCCCTACATCGAGTACTACAGAGGAAAGTGGTTGTACTTCGAACAAATGCTCTTTTTAAGAAAATCATTACCTACCGATGTAGTCACTGTTAAAGACAACGAGTACCCAGAAGAAATGGAAATACAAGAAGAGTCTATTATCAAAGAAGAAGTAGTAGAATATGAAGAAAATCCGTTACTCTCCAATACCGTATTTACTGTGGATCACAGCGACTACTGTCATGACTATGACGGAGCAACTCCAATACATTCTCTGTGTATAGGCAACGACAATAATTTCATCATAAACCCTAAAGATGAGATGATAGAAAAAATAAATAATGAAGAAAAATTATCAGAAGCAAGCATAAGTAGTAGTCGTAAAAGAAAATGTTCCGACTCCACAGAATCTGTGGTTTCAGAGAAAACTAAAAGACTATCGGTGAACGAGAATTCGTCATGTGAAGATCAAAGTGATATAGACGATGACTTACATTTTGTAAAGAGTTTAGTGCCTTTCTTAAGGAAATTAACGCCAATTAGAAAACTATTAGTTAGGAATGAAATTCAAAACTTGTTGATTAGAGAAAGCCTTTGTGATAAATGTAAGCAAAATACCTCGCATACCTGTTGATCGGTTTAGTATCAAAATTTTTATTTTAATATGTTTCAAGTTCATATTTTTAAATATATTTTTTAAACAATGTATCGGATTTCATTCATTCATTTAAGTGATCAAAATTATTATCTAAGTTTGAATTGTGTAAGTACACAATAGTACACATACACACACTTCACACATCAACAGCCTATAAGTAGCCAATGCTGAGCAAAGGTCTCAAATCCCAATAGATAGGTACTTTTTTTCTTATACTTGATGGGCCCACGTTTGACCACTATCTCACCTGGTGATAAGCGATGATGTGGTAGACGATGGATCACGTTCTACCATAAGCAACTAATTCACTCAAGCCTTGAAGACACTCAGGTTCAAGAAATACAGACTCTGGCAAAGAATTCCACTTTTTAGCAGAAAAGCATAGAAATTGGGTCGTGTTTCAAACACATTTTTAATAAGCAAATCACGTGTACGACTACCTCGTTGGTCGGCCACACGACAAGTGCGACTACTGGGGCAAGAAGTCTCGGGTTCGATTCCCGGGTCGGACAAAGTATTGCTGGGTTTTTAAAAAGAACGCTAGTAGCAACATGGAGTCTGAAATTATGCCTGGTATATGACAATAGGTTCACCCCCTATTACATGAGACTTATAAAATAAATAGTGAAAAGTGAGTGATACATTGTTCAGTGGCATTAAGTGTCACATAATTAGCACCTCTGCCTACCCCATCGAAGATAAAAGGCGTGATAATACTGATACTGATATTGTGTGTTAAAATAATGTCTAGAAAAACTACCAATAACTTTAGACGAAAGAAACCTACTACGCCAACTACTGACTTCAAAACTGCCATTAAAACCCTACTAAAGGAACATGATACAGTAACGGTACTCAATAAAAAGGAACACAAAAGTCTAGGAAAGCATTAACAAACGTAACACTCTCCATTCCTTAGAGAAAACGTAGCCAGTGATCATAAAACAGCCGTAATTAGGTAAACTCCGCGAATGACCGTTAATCAAGTCCCATAGTCCACTGTAATGTAGGACAGTAAAAATTTTATGTACAGTACGTTTTCTATTAAAACTTGACGTTAATAGCTCAGTATTAGTTGAGGAGTAACGATATAATCAATCAGGATGATAAGAACAAAAGGTTTGTGTTACATAGACTAGGCAATGATAATAATGATATAGAAGACGTTCTGGTGATTTATATAGTACCTAATCTGGTGTTAGTTGTTTGTATCTATTTTAAAAAGTTCAGGGAAATAGTCTGTATAGGTAAGTTCTTAGGTATGATACGAAAATGTTCTTTTCCGTTCATTAATATCGTTTGTTTAAAGATGTAGTTCTTCGGTGCATCTAAATTAAAAATACACTTGACAATGGTCACAAATTTGCAGTTACATTTAATTGCAAACACTTTTATGAATGTTGAATGAACCTTCTTACTGTATCCACTAAATTCTTAAACAAACAATAAGGTTAAAACTTGAAACAGACACAACAGACGCGTATCTTAAAGTAACACCGCATCCTAAAACAGATGATGATAAAAATTAAAACAAAAATAAAACTCCTACGCGTGCGACATAATTTTCCAACTTTCTCCACAATAAGTTTAGTCAAACTGCCGACGTAAAAGATAAAATAAAATGTGTTATAAACACAGGAATTCGTTATGTTCCACATAAATTAGATTGACGGGTGTCTGTCAAGTTTCGTGATAAACTAACTGTTATTGTAGGTGGTAAAAATTAGGAGATACAATTCATGGGGCGCGTGATGAATGAATGGAGTTCATGTATTTTTTTTATTTTTTTTTTTTTTTAAGGGGGGAAAATCATCGAATGACTGCCGCCGCCTGGGTGAGGCGGGAGGGAGTGTCAGACTCTTACTGACTAAAAACCACCCCGTTCCTTCTCCTGCACGTCGAGCCGGAGCCCCGGTTACCCGTTAGGTTCTCCGCGACTCCGAATCGGCATCGGCCCTATTGGGCCCCATCTGTGGTGGTCTGATGGCTCTTTGAGGCGCGCGCGGAACGCGACGCGCCGTACGCTCGGGTCTGTTTCTGGTCGGACGGGGAGCCACCCATGCTCGCCGTCCGCAGGCCCGCGCTTACGGTGGCCGGAGATCGTCCCGCGATCCCCGACGCCCGGTGTGTCCTTCGCGATGGCTGGGTTGCGAGGAGGCAGCGCTTCGCTGCCTCACGCGTCCCGCCTCCTCCTTAGCTAGCATGACTGCTTCGCAAAAGGAGGAGACGGCATCCCAATCCCCCTCGCTCCGCATCATGGCCTGCACTAGGCCCGGACGCGAGAGGTCGCCATCGCCGATCACTTCCCTGAGGACACGGCGGTGCTCAGCCCACGAAGGGCATTCTCCCACCGTGTGTTCCACCGTGTCCTCAGGGCGGTCCTCGCAGTGATGACACCCGGGCGTTTCCTCCCGCCCCATCAGACACAGGTACCTCCCGAAACTTCCATGTCCGGTGAGGACCTGCGTCAGGCGGTAGGTGAGGACGCCGTAGCGTCTCTCAAGCCACTCCTCAAAGAGGGGACTTACCGCTGCGATGGCAGCGAGCCCAGCCCTCGGTTGCGACAGTCGTTGCTGCCATTCCGCCATGAGATCGCGCCGGAGCTCATCCCGCCACGCACCTATCTGGCGCGGCAGCGGGGTTTCGCCCCGGCGACGTGCCTCCGCGCGCATGCTGTACACGCGCGCGAGCACCTTCGCCTCCAGATCCCACGGCGGTAATCCGGCAAGGAGGTTCGCCGACTCCCCAGAGATCGTGCGGTATCCGCGGATCATTCGGATCGCCATGACCCTCTGTGCCATGAGCAGCGTCCGAGCGGGACGCCGCAACAGGTTTGGCGCCCAAACAGGGGCGCCGTAGAGGGCCATGGACCGCACGACCCCGGCGTATAACCTCCGGCAGGAGGCGTTTGGCCCCCCGAGGTTGGGGAGGATGCGTTTAAACGCAGCCCCCGTCCTCTCCAACTTTGGAGCCAAACGTCGGAAGTGTTCAATGAAGTTCCACCGACTGTCGAGGACGAGTCCTAGGTACTTCATCGTCGTCTCGACGCCGATGGTAACTCCTCCCGCCGTTATTTGGGACCCACCCGGAGGTGGCGCGTTCCCGCGGCCATGAAAACACATGGCCTCGGACTTGTGGAGCGCCACCTCGAGTCCCAACTGCCGGATTCTCTCAACGACTGTCGCAACCGCTGTCGCCATTAAGTCGGCCGCCGCCTGGTGTGACCTCCCGTGCGCTAGCACCAGCGTATCGTCGGCGTAGCATATTGTGCTAACGCCGTTCGGGAGGTCGGTGCGCAGCACCCAGTCATAGCCGATGTTCCACAGGAGCGGCCCCAGAACCGAACCCTGTGGAACACCGCGTGACATCTCTCGCCGGTTCCACTCGCCCCGGTGACCGGGGTAGCTGACGGACCTGTCCGTCAGGTAAGCCTCGATTACACGACGGAGGTAGGTAGGCACCCGATGATATCGGAGTGCCTCCAAGATGCAGCTCCAGGGCAGGGAGTTGAAGGCGTTGGCGATGTCCAGAGACACCGCCACTACGACCTTACCCCTGGACACTGCAGTCCCCGTCGTGAGGTCTCTAACGCGCATGATGGCGTCCACCGTGGGGAGTTCATGTATGGCGCCAACGCTGTGTGAGACATTGTCTGCTTCATAAATACCTATGTATGTTTCTAACAACATGAACAGTTCTATTCGACTGTAAATGTGTTTTTCTTTTTCTTATATTCATTATACAATGTCATTTACTTTACCTTTTAACTCACCATTGGCAAGAGTACTGCGTAGGTATCACATACTAGGATTATCCCGAACATACGGCGCGTCGCGCTCCGAGCGCGCCTCAAAGTGCCATCGAAGACCACGGATGGGGTTCAATAGGGCTGATGCCAATACGGAGCCGCAGAGAACGTAAAAGGCTACCGCAGCTCCGACTCAAAGTGCAGGAGCAGGAACGAGGTGGTTTTAGTCAGTAAGAGTCTGACACTGTTCGATGACTTCCCCTCTAAAAGCAAAATCTATGATTATACATTTTATAACTTCTTTTAAGTTCCCACATCGACCTAATCACAAACCTACCCCATTCTAATCAGCACAGTAACAAAGAAACCTACAGCAAAACCAGCACAATTAACATGTAAACATGAAACAATAATCCAGCAATTAACAAAAGCCTTAAAACAAACTCGAAAGATAAACACAATACTGATCCTTTTCATCTCCTGAACCGAACGGTTCTGTTTCAACGAAACGCAACAATGGCGGCCCGCATAGCACACTGTTTGCACGGCATTAGCCTGTTTCCCTGTTGACACACTTATCGATTCACTGATTGTCGCGTCAGGATAGCCTAACTATGCTTAACGAGGTAGTTTGAGGACGATATTCTGTGGTTTATGTTTCTTTTTGATGGAGCTTTATTAAAGTTATCTATATATTAGATAGAACGTAACATGACATAACATCACGCCTTTTATCCCCGAAGTGGTAGGTAGAGGTGCACAAGGCACCTTATGCCACAGTTCAATGTAATACCCACTTTTCACTATTAACATAATGTTATGAGTCCCATGTAATCGGGGGTGAGCCTATTGCCATATATCGGGCACAATTCCAGACTCCGTGCTACTACTGAGTTTTTTATAGAAACCCAGTTATACTTTGCCCGACCTAAGAATCGACTTGTGATCACTCGGCCGATGAGCAGTATTAGATAAGATAATTCGATAGATAATGTTCTGTTTAAAAGTTCCTACATATTTATTCAAAATTGTTCTGTAACTTAACGCATAGACAAAACATAAGAACAGACAGAGAGCCATACTTTATCGTCATGTACTAGGGCTCGTCATTAATTCCAATCTTAGAAACTAAAGCTCTTGTCTTCGTTTCTAATCATCTTACAGAACACTAACAACAAAATCTAGCCCATCGATCATCGTCGAATATACAAATACCAATTTTCTTCACGAAATTCTAAACGAAATGCAAACAAACCTGGGGTTTAGAATCAGTGAAGAATTAAACTCATATAA